TAAATGTATTTGCATCTATTTATTATGAAAACCACTTTTGATCTCAGTGAATTTCAGCGTTAGGTTATGTTGAAGACAAATTGCCTTCAGATTAAATAAATCTCAGGTGACTTTCCTGCTTGGGACTGAACTTAATGCTATGAGCATGAGCAAGTTAAATATATGGAGGGTATAGTATTTGACTGATACTGTACAGAAAAAGGCCTCTTCTCAGCTGAGGAATGTTGTGGCCAATAAATTGTAGTCCTTACTCTTGGCAAGTCTTCCTTTAATATATATGATAAATGCTGTGGGTGACTTATGTCAAAAAAAAAAAAAGAAATAAAAATGTGAAAGGACATCCCTTTTCAGAATTAGTCATAAAGTCCTCATATAATATTATAATGCCTGGCAGTTAATGCCTGTCAAGATTAATGTCCAATGCTGTGTTGTAAAAATGCAGAATAAAAATCAGTCCTTACATGAGAGAGCCACAGCCCATGCACATTTATCTCAGAAGGTCTGGGCTGACCTGCTCAGTCACTGGAGCTCTGTTTTAACAGTGTGTAGGTGTTTAAAAAGTGTTTACACCACAAAGCTGCCCTTCCAGATAACACTCCTGCTACATTCACAATACAGTGACAGATAAACAGAGAACAAACAACTCCCCCACTAAATACATTAAGCAATAATGGCACAAGATTAATGTAGGACAGTAAGTATGACAATCAGGAAAACAAGCAGTGAAAATAACCATCTGTTTGCTTAATGCATTTCAGTTTGTCATTCTTTGGCAATGAAATTGAAAGAAATACAAAGCAACTAATGCTTCACCTAGAAAAAAATGCTCCCGGAAAGCACAGAATGAGAACAGGGAGGGAGTTTTCGTAGGGTGCATTGAGGTTTTTTTCCCCAAAATTGATTGCATATTTTGCAGGCAGGCATTTTATTGTGACAGAATGTGAAGGGATTACTATGTATAACATACATTTACCTTGCCTTTTACATTCAGGACTTCACTCAGTCTGCCACTGCCATGGATAAATTCTGTAGCCACTAAGACATCCTGTCAGTGTGATTCAAGAGTAATTCCAGCTTCACCTGAACTGAAATGTACAGTGGATTTCAGCTGGAGTCATGACAGCATTAAATTAACCTGGTTAAAATATAATGGGAAAATACTTACCCAAAGGAACTTACTTCATTGTGTATTTTATCCCAAGTATTATCTTTTTACTTCTGCACTAGTATGAGAAGTGAAACTTGCAATTTAGAGGTGCTTGGAAAGGTAGATTACATCTAAAATAGGTTTATTGTAAGAACCTATTATAGGTTCTAAAATTTATTCAAAATTTAAAATGTTTTTTTGACATGAGGAAGCTACTCTATATGTAATGTGCAATGGAATTAAACACAAAAAGTTGCACAATACCTGTCATCAAAGATAGGCTTGAAAATCATTTTAAAATTAAATTAAAACATATAAATTTATGTGCTATTTAATACAAGTACTTTATTGCAATGGGTATATATTATGATTTGAGATAGTAAGGAATCTATTCACTAAATTCCATTTTCAAACAAAATGAACAAAAGCATGTGGTTTAAGGTCCAACATTTTTGTGCCATCCCAAAACCACACCATCATTTTTTTCCTTCTTATTTGGTTTACTTAGCAATAACTTATATATTCTCACCCAATCTGAAATAAGTAAACTACAGAGTGGGGAACATACTCTTAAGAGACTGGCTTTTAGCTTTAACAGAAGCAAAAAGCTTATCTCTGGCTGCTTCCACCTATTGATCCACTCCCATTGTGCTGAAATACTACTTGAAGTCGATGTAGCTGGAGATCAAATAAAATGATACAACCTCGTCAGAAATCACTATCAAGGTCCTTGAAGAAGAGGTGGAATCAGCACTTTAAAACTTTTTTTGCTTGTTATTTGGGTCATGCATTCCTGACTAACACCTGAACTGCTATTCAGAGAAAGTCAAGTTGGCAGCAGTGGGGAAGATCTTTAAAGGTGAGTGGAATCAAGCACTGAAAGTTTTACTATTTTACTATGGGTGTTTTACAGATTCACCATCACTGACTGCTTCAAAGTCAGGATGAGATGATTTTTCACTTGTAAAAAGAGCAACTCCAACAAAAAAAAAAAAAACTCCAACAAAACATACACGCAAAAAAATACATATAAAAAACCCAACACCACCAAACCTGTTCAAGAGATTATCCCAGTATGGTTACTGATGTCCAAGCAGTCCTGTCAGTCCTTTTCTATTATGATAGAGGCTGTACCTCGTAAACGGACAGGACAGTTTTGTCTTGCACCTAAGACTGCTACCTCAACTAAACAAGTAAAGTGAGATTATGGGTTCTGATTTGCAAGTATAAATGAAAATGAATTTTATTGATGCCAAAGATGGCAAAGTTTTAAGGAGATGTAGTGACTGACACAACTAAGGAAAGCACTATCTTTTTGAGTCGTACAGATTTCTTTTTTTTTCCTGTAATCAGTTGATCTAATAAAGATATTATATCTCTGTACAGATCATGTCCTGTCATCACAACTACAAGCACTTTTATTATTCTATTTTTGAGAAAAAGTCATTAGAATGTCTCTGAACATACTATTGACTATTGTAACTGGGATCTGAATCTTCTCTTCTGGCACAGGGCTGGGAAACAGGGATTTCCTTCTCCACAGTTTCTGAGATCCAATCAGCAGGGAGGGAAAAAAAAAGGAAAAAAAGGATGGTTTTCCCTGGAATTACTCCCAATATACTGATCTGATTCTCTTTCCTACTAGTGATAGACTCTTTCTATTACAAAGACCTGTCTTCCTGTGGTCACATACAGTATATTTCACATCTGCTACTGCCAGAATAGCTTAAAATGACATATGACAGAGCACAGGACAAGAGAAATCTGACAGAATCCCTCCATCATTGAAGAGTCAGCAAAGACACAGAATGTGATCATGGTCAAAATTTTCACAGCCAACTGCTGTGCAGAAATGTTTTGCAAACAACATTAATCCTTGTAGAAAGTGCTGAGTGAACCCTGCTTGGGTCTTCCTTTGCAGAAGGGTTGAAAAGTGACAATAAGAGACAGTCTTTCAAGAAGAAATAATGCATGATTAGTTAAGATCATGAAAAAAGAGGGATTTACACATATCTAAAAGTATCAGAATGTGGTCGTACCAAAACCAGAAATTATTTTTCAAACAAGTTACAGAGGAATGCACATGGTATATGGGAGTCTTAATCACTGCACATATTAGGAAAAGAAATTTACTTATGCCTAACAACTCAAATTGTGTTTGATTTGCTGTTCACTCTTATATTGAAAATATGTTTCTTAAATGGGTTCATTTATCATTCTTGCTTCTGCAGAAAAGGCTAGTATGCAAGAAAAAAAAAATCCCATTTCATAGCAGTAGTTGGAGCCCTTACAGTTAATCCTTACTATTGTCCATCCATAATATGTAGTATCGCTTAGCTTACACACAGGCAAGAAAATCCTTGGAAACAAATGGAAATTTATGGTATTTCTTTCAAACCACAATAAATGGAAAAAATCACTTCATAGTAATGAGTTTCTGTCTCTAAATATGCTCAACAGGAAGATTTCATCCTTCTTGAACTAAAACAAACAACACGAGGTTTCTGACTCCTAAAATGGGATATTAATAGGACCAGTAGACTATGACGGGTTTTCCTTTTAGGAAAGAAATGGAAACCCTATATCGAATATCACTGCTATATGTGCATTTGGGAAAAAAAAAAAAAAAAAGTCTTTTTCAAGCCCATTTTTCTGTTCCTAACTTGGTGATGACAGCTGGTTATAACTTAGTACTCACATGCTGGCACAAGTCCTGCTTCTGATATTTCCTTTTTCTAGATGGATAACAACATGCACATTAACTTCATCAAAATAAATATCTACCTGCAGTCCTTCTAACAGGAAAAGATCATTTTTTTCTAGAACATTTAATCTTTGATCAATACAATTGCACTGGTTTTACCCAGATAAGTATTAAAATATTAATTTCCTAGTTTTCGTATTTTAAGCTGTATTTGAGCTAAAGTTCAAAGCTTTCTCTTCATATTTCTCTGTTTCTCTTTAAATCATTTCAGTTTTGGCTTTTTCCCCCTACAAAATTACATTATAATGACATTTAATTCAAGAAAATTGATGTTTTCTATTACCACAATGTAAAAAAAAATTGCATAAAGCAAGCACTTTAACATCTCATTTACCCATACCCCATCAGAACTCTGTCATAGCAATATTTAGAGTTATTTAAGAGTTGATGCATTGGAGGGTAACTGTACTTTGAAGAACTGGCACAAATAACAATTAATTGGGGGTGGTGCTGCACCAGTGCTGAGCTGATCACAGGAAACAATAAAGAGGATGGTGTAACAGGTCCTCTGTAGGACAGAGCTTTCTGTCACCACGATGACATTATAAAAACAAGTGGTTCATAATGCCTAAGCAGATGAATGCAGACACTATGCATTTTTGTGGGTATTAACAGCTTATTGGCTATTTCAGCATGCTCCACATACAACTTTATAATAAGGACAAAAGCAGCTTAAGCTCAGCAAGCAATATGGAAGATTGCCACTGTAGTTTCCCCCACAGCAATTCCAAATCCTGTTTTTCCTCATGTACAATAAAGGCTATAGCATTTCTTTCTTCTGTGACTTCAAGCATCTTCAAAGAGAGACACAATCACCTTCTTCCAAGTACCAAGTATGTCTTTTCAATAATAACATGTTATGAAGGAAAAGTGTGTTAGGGTCTTTTTCTTAGCTTACATTCCACCATTCCTTTTTCATCTTCCATCAGGCTTTAGAGTGACTAACCAAAGAATGTGCCAAACAGACCACAAAGACTTGTGTGAGAACTTTAAATTTTATAGTACCTCACAAAATACCCACATGTTCCCAACACCACAAGCAACACTGAACACCAGTTTGTTAGAGACCAAAAATAAGTGAGAGCAAACATTGATTAAATCTTTATTAATAAAAAAAAATCTCAGTATAAAAAAATAGCTCCTTCTGTACACTTAAAGATGAAACTACACAACAGTCACAAAGATACATAACAAGTCAATTTAAAGATTCCTGAAGCTGTTTTTCAGAATCATGCTGTTTTCTGTTGTCATGTGTCATACATTTATTGTCTCCATCAAAACTGTAAGCTCCCCAAAGCAGTCACTTGAGACACTTAAGTTATGCATAACCATGACAATCATTAACCTACAAAGAAACAGGTTGGCTACATTAATGTTTGCTATTGTTAATTCATCCAGTGATGGACAAAAGTCAGGCAGGTTTAGGGATAGTACATCAAAAAGTTGCATAGATTATTTACAGAAATAATATCATCCAGCCAAAAGCCTGTTATTTTCTATGACCTCTCATGTACTTCAGTCTTTCCTGGTAGAATAAACAATCTGATGTACTGCTTTGCAATACTGAAGAGTAAATGAAACTATGTTACTGTATCTTTCAAGAGCATGAATCATGACAAAGGTAGACTTGGTTAATAACACTAATGTTATTACTTTGAGTTGAATACTTTGCCAGATCTAGCACAGAAAGCTGACAGGCAGCAGTGAATATTAACAGTCACTGGAGAACAAGTAGCACTTTAAAGCTACAGCAGAGCTGGTAAGGATAATCTAAAACAACATTAGAAGTATCAGCTCTGATTAAGGTTGCTCTTCTGCTTGGAGGATGTCAGTGTCCATTAGGATTACTGGTTTCTTCTCTCTCTCCCTCTCCTATTCTGTCCTCAAATACCAACATGCACAGGTACGAATGAAAGTTGTACCTGGGTATTTGAGTTTGGGATCTATGCACCCTGCTCAAAGAAAGAGATGAAACTAATAACCATTTCTTCATGTAACTGGGCTTTCTAAAAAGCAAAGCTATTAACAAACATACTTGTACACTTACTCCCTGTACCTGGTATGCAAATACTTGATAGAAAACATGTACCATATAGCAGTCTCCTACTCTGGACTACATACCTGAATTTTGTTTACATCCGTGTGACTATCAGCGTATAAGCCTGATATCTTAAAGGTAAAACTGACGGGTATCACCTATTGTAAAGTCATTCAATATACATGCTTCTCCTAAACTTACAACATCTTCCTGCCATTTTGCTCTAACTCCAATTCATCAGGATATTTAATACCGGTAACTTCCATTAGAGAGACATCTCAAATTATAGGAACTCTGTAATGAACAATGTAAGCCATGGACATGTCCATTAAGCAATGACATTTAAGCAATGATAAATCTTTTGAAGATACACTTCTCCACTCTCCCAAAGGTTTTGTTTTCTTCTTGCAGCTGAACACAGACATTAGGAAGATCCCAGGCCTCTTGGAAAAACAAGTCTGTATGTAGCATCTCAGTCAGTGAAGCCAACATGCTGTCCTATTCAGCTGTTGGTACTACAGAAATATATATAAAAAGGTTTAAGTAAGTATATTTGAGGAAACCAAAATGATTATCTGAGTATTTTTGAATGCATTCATATCAGCTTTTTAACATAAAAAGGGTAAACTGCATAAATGGGTGTGCAAGTGCTATAGGTAAAGGATAAATACCCCATGAAGAACAGTAGATAAAGGATAAGTACAATGCAGAACAGTAACAATCACTAGCACACACTTAGTGTAAAGTAGCATGAGTGCATTTGTTAAAATGAAAACATGGGAAGCTTCAATAGCTGTACGCTTTTAAGAGTCTTTTAAGCCCTCAAAATAGCATTGCACTCCCCAGTTTGTTTTAGCCTATTACAACTTGTTTATCAGAACTTTTACCACAAGGAAAATGGAATGAGTAAGTTACCCCCATCTTTGTAAAAACAGGACTCACCTGCCTGCTGACAGTGTTTTTCTGCCAACAGTTGGTGGAGATGTTTCATTCTGGAAAAAGCTTTTTATCCACCAACTTCTATCAATTAACTCAGGTAACCCTGCCAAAGGGGACAAAGCCAACCAACACCATTAGACACTAGCTAAATAACAAATAGGCAAACTACAAGATTGCTTGAAAGAAAGGAACAATACCATGAAATGCTTTGTCCTGGTCAGCAACATTCACAGCATCTGAACACCAGGAGGAGCTGGAAGAAACACTGGACTCCGAGTTCTGCCTGGCTGGTTACAGAAAATCGACACACATAAAAAAGTGCTTTGAGAGAGTACACTATTTCTACACCAAGAATTTCTCAGACATTTTAAAATATAAGTTTATTAAGTGCAAAGTACAACTTCTGTATTACATAATGCCATTTTAAGGAACATAATTTTTTCTTATAAGTTGATCTCAGTCTACTTAAAATTATAGAGAGATCTATTTGCATAACTTTCACTTAAATCAGTGACAAATCTTAAGATCATGTGCATGTTGCTATCAGAACAAATGATTTTATTATTGAATATTCAAGTCCAAACCAACCTAATTGTTGTACTTTTCACTGTGACACAACTAATTCCTACACTTGCACTGTAGCATCCACGCAGTCCAGAGGGATCCTAATTCACCATATGTATTCTCAAGCTACTGATTGTTTCACATGCTTAGAAACAAAAATGTGAGTTGATTCTGTGCTCCAAGCTTGCAAAGTAAATATGAAGTTTAACTAGAAGCCTAGACTATCCAGGGTAACACTTTTTCTATGTTATGTTTTAAAAATAAAAGATATTACATATGCCATTACACCCACATTGCATTTCTAAGTAGGTAAAAAAAAATTAATAGGGAAAATAAATGGGGAAAAATAATAACCAGAAGCAGATGCTCATTAAAACTGAAGTTCCTTGATACAATGAAAAACTCCCCAAGCCATTAAAAACTACCACGCAAAGCCACCCTTTTGCCTTCGGCTCATCCAGGTATCACCTGAACCACTCTGACTCTGACTTTTCATGAGGGGCAACAATCCGGGAATCTCCTCGGGAGAGCCTCTGGGGCGCTCAGCCTCTATCCTCCAGAGGACCCTCCCCGGCAGGCAAGAGGGGGAGGATGAACACAGGGTGACGACTCCTCTCTCCCCTCCCCTTGCACTTACTTCTGTAGTACTGGTTCTTGGCCAAGAGGCAGCCGGCTGAAGGAACCGAGGCCATGGCAGCAGCGAGACTGGGAAACTGCCTCTCCGGGACGAGCCTGCGGGAGGAACGAGGCGCTTTACCGGGGAAGCCGCGACCAACGCAGACCGAGAGTAGCCGCGGCGGCTGCGGCGGCACCCCCGTCCGTGCCCGCCCCAGCGGTTCACCTGCGTTACCCACGGAAACCACCCGTCCCGATGAGAGCAGGACCGCAACGAGTGTCACTGGGCGCCCGGACTGCGCCTATATTGGCGGCGGCGGGCGGCCCGCCCCGGGGGCGGTGGGGCAGTGGGGCGGGACAGGACGGAGCCAGCCCAGCCCCCGCCCGGCCCCCACCCGGCCCGAGATAACCCGCGGCGACCGCCAAGGTCTCTGGTCTGTTCCTCATCCTTTTGACCCATTATCAGCTCTGGAGTGCATTAAGCGGGAACTAAAACCGGCGGTGTTAGCTATCCTCTGCCCTGTGGGGAAGGGGAAGGAAGGGATGAAGCAGACAGGTACCTCTTTCAGTCGAGACTTTTATGTCGTCTATAAATATGGACATCACAACGCACATATGCTAGAGAAAGTGAAGTTAAAGGAATGTTCTTCACTCTCACAGTAAAATAAGTGAAACCTAAGTGAACGGCTTTGTAAAGTTAGAGTGAAGTCCCACATAAATCACCAAAGGAGGTTTTTCTCTTCCCATGGATAAATGCACAACTCTCTCTAAACTGTTGTAATCCTATCCCTTGTCCTACAGTGTGTTTCCTCAGCATTCGGAATTGTCAACAGAAAAAGTAAAACAAAGTTTTTACTATTTGAGTTGCTCCTGCTCCGCAAGGAAATGTTTTATTTATTTGTTATTTTTTCACAGCAGGAGTTGTGGGTAAGAACACTGCCATGTGTGGTGTGCGACACCATGTTACACTGATGTATCTGACTGCTTGAATAGTGCATCCTACATGAAATGATAAGGACATAGTTCAGAATTGTTGCTAGTATGTTTGCAAGGATGTAAAGCACACTGCAGGAAAACTGCCTATAAAATAATACTCATACAGGAATATAACATGTAAGCACAGTTTATTTTCCTGGGCCTTTTTATTCATCTGCTTAGTCTTGACAACATGGTGGTCTTTCCTGGGCAAAACTTGGAGGCTCACCTTCGTGAAATCTGCAAGATTGACAAAGAAAATACAGCTGAGCTGGTGCCATGCACTAGCACCAGCTACCCCATATGTTTATCTCATTATGTAAAGAAGCACTGCAGGAGTAGGAAAGTTTACAGATTTTTTGATACCCCATTCACAATGTACCTCTCTACCCACTGTTGCAGTTCCTTGTTTATGGATGCTTAAATGTAACTGAACCATCAGCTTATTGTATCGGTGACCTCTTTTCCTGTCTTAATACTAAATTTTCATTTTGAGGCTCATTCTATTTGTGGGCAATATATTTCTGCACCACCCCATTTGTTTTTGTCACCACAAATGCCCTCACAGTAGGCACTGTTGAGTTGTCAGATCCATTCCTGAAAGAAGGGAAACCTCCCCAGAGAGCCATAGGAGGTGCACCCTTGAGCCATGAGGGTGGGCATTTGTAGTGATAGGACTTTGTCCTAGACAAGAGCTGGCAACATCATAATTTATTATATCTGCTATTCTCTTTCAGCTTTAAGATCCTGTTTTAATCTACTCATAACTTTGTCAAGGTTGTTACTTTGTCAGAAAAACTATTCTAACTCTAACATGCCCCAGGTCTAGGCATTGTATGCAGCAAGAAAGCAGACATAAGTGGTTCTCTTGTGATCCAAACAAATGTGCATCCACATTGAAGCCATGCCAAAACACTCAGGAGCTGTGGAACACCAGGTATGTGAAACTTTAAATTGCTTCGCTGCTGCATTCGTATTATTTTGCTATATCACATAGCATACATGGTCATATAACAGTTTTGTTCGGGAGCCCTGTTTCATGCATTGCACTGGAATAGAAAGTACTTATTTAATGAGAAGTTTCCCCCCATTTCTCCTACTCAATCTGGCATTATGTCCTACCTATTGTATTTTCTTCAAGTAATGCTCTGAATACAGAACTAGATTTTGCCAGTATTTTTTCTTCCATGGTTATTTTTACAGTGTGCTTATTTTTACAGCGTGCTTCTAAAATACTAGCACATTTATTTTCAGGCATTGCAACAAAACCAAGGCGTGCTATGATCTTCAGTTAACAAGTGGGAATTCTGAAATCTGAAGGAGTTCAGATACAAGAATCCACATATCTTAGGTTTCTGATATGAAAGCAGTCTAGGCCTTTTTTATATCTATTTAGCACTATGCCACACTTCATTTACCCACTTACTGCTCTCATTCACTTCTCAGCACATTAATAAATCAGATTCTCATCATACATTTTAAAAATTGGTCAGTAGGCACCTATGATAAATGTAAGGAACTCTCATAACTTCAATTACAAGCTCAGGGGCAAGGTTATAATTTAGCTTTCAAGACAGAACTCAATTGCCGTAACCACTGACCTGTTCTTTTTTCCATGAAAGCCTTTGCTGCATTCACCACTCAACATGTCCCAGCCACAGAAGTCCTACTAAATGCACTCTGTAATCTCTTTAACATCACAAGTTCGGTTTATATCCATGCTTTGTGCCAAAAAGACAGGAACCCTATGAAATAAATAGTGCGTAATTGTCGATTTTATAAGAATGCATTTACAGAAGGCACATTTTCAGCCTTTCAACTTGACCTTAGCAACAGTGTTAAATTAACTTATGTTAATTGTTATGTTAAATAGACAAAACACTGAATTATGTTATCCCATGAGCCATGGACACTCATCAAAAGTATAATTTAAATTTTAAAATTAAATAGGTATCACCCATTATATGAGTAAATCTCCCACCTAATTGTGTCAGGATTACCTGGCATAACCCTTCTTTAGACATTAAAAGTAAAACATTCCAGTCAAAACAATAAAAATGAAATAACAGTCTATATTGAGCTTAATCTTGAAGCTTACCAGTTAATTATTCACTAGACAAGGTTTATCTTGTAAACTTAGCTACTTTTTCAGTTCTTGGAATATCTGTGAGCATGATGCCAGTCTTTTTGTGGACTTGTTTTGGTTGTTTTCTTCCCTGCACTTTTGCAACAATTTTTTTACTTTCCCTTGTTACTTAACCTAAGAGTAAGTGTGGTGTTAGAAAGCGTAGTGTTGCTTCATGGCTGTGTCCTTTGAATGATTGTATGGGTGCTCTAACATTAAGGTTTAGAGAGATGTGAACAATTTCAGTGAAAGCATCTTTCCATATGCATCTACAGAATGGTGCATTTATGGCATGTAAAGGTAGAATATTCCCTCTTACCAAACTTCTGGAAGAGCAGATTTTGCAGTTTTTCACTGCCCAGTCTTATTGCCCATCCATAATTAATATTTCAATCAAACTTTTGTACAACAAGTATAAATAACTCTTATTTGAAGGCAATTGTGTCTTAATTTGACAGGATGACTCTCCATGAGAAGACTTAACTTCCTGGGTAATGTTTTGTAATGGGTGTATTAACATTTTCAGAGAACTGTCATAAACATTTCCTTCATGAATCTTTCAGTAACTCTAATTATTTGCTATCTCAACAAATTGTTTTGCATACTTGTCATGTCAGATTTTGAAAGGAGTCTGTAAGTAGGCTTGCATGAAAGAAATTATGCAGCTCCACTATGTCAAGTAACAGACTTTTGCTGTGCAAAAGTCAGCTATCAAAACCTGTTTGGTTTATTAGCTACCTCCAAGGACCAGTGTCATCTCTTACTTTTACATTAATTTTTTTTACTCTTCAAATATTCCCTCAAGACAGACAGCTCAGCAAGTGTACAGGCTCATCTATCAAAACCAAGATTTGAGGAACCGATGAAGAATTAAATGGCAGTGTGTGAGGTGTCAGGGGAATTGGAAATTTGTATTGTATGTAACCTGTGAAGAAGCATAGGGCCATAAAGACGCTGGGGAGGGCCTGAGCACAAAAGGAACAGAAAAAGTGTTTCTCTTCACTGCTGTAGTGTGTGGCACCACTGGAAACCATCAGCTTTGTAGTAATGACCACTCCCAGCAGTGAAGTGATTGCTTACTGGCAGTTCTGGCACTTTTAATATTATTATTATTTTTAATCCTTACTACAAATGTGAAAAAAAAATAGAAAAAATATATATTTTCTTTTTATTCCTGACCATTTAAGATATCAGATGACACTGAAAGCAAAGAGTAACTACTGAACTCTAGACTCCATGCAGCACACCTTTGAATGAAGCATATTGCCTGAAATGTCACCAGAAATAGGAAAAACACATATTTTGACCTATAAGCCACACCGCCAAAGTACTGGAAAAGACTATACACATTGCTAGACTGTTGGTATAACTTTATGAACTTACAGTTTTCAAAACCAACAGTTACAAGTTTCTCGTCATTTAGTTCCATGTCCTGTCTAGTACAACACTCATAAGGAAACAAAGACATTTTAATGTGTGTCATTTTAGCTGTATTTTAAAATTTAATTAAAACACATTTTTCTTTGGATCCAGATACAAACAGCTGGCCAAGTCTAATAAATTTCCTTCAGCAAGCTACATCTTTTACATCTTTCTAAGGAGGCATATGAACACTTGGCCTTTTTGTTACTTTCGTCACTTAATTATGCCAAAGAAGAAGGCTTAAGGGTCCAGCATGATGAAATATAGAGGTAATAAATTGTACTCCTACAAAACAGAATATATAATTGAATGGAATATAATTGAACAAATCAAAATTGAAACATAGGCAAGTTTATATACCCCTTTAATATATCCATGGAGATTGACTTTTCTATAGAGATGAGTTGGCTTGTTATTCAATTTCATATCCAGTACAGAGATGCACAGCCCAAACTATGCATATTTTAGTATCCTTGTCTATTTTGATTCAAATAAGCATTTTATTGTGTAGCATACACTTTTTCCAATTGCTGCAAACAGTACTTTGCATTTTGATGTACAAACAGACTGCTCTGATTCAGTTCTGTACCTACTCTCTCT